GAGAGGAGAGGTTGCCGAGAATTGTATGGGAGGCGAAGTGGGCAAACAAGGAGAGGGGTATACAACTCACGGAATGGGTCAAGGTTGTAGAGGATGTATGGAAGGGGCTCGACATCGACGAAGTTGAAACGCTGGAAATGGAGGGTCTAACGGGGTTCAAGGAGAAGACATATTTTGCTTGTGCTGAGAGAGAACAGAATCTGAGGAAAGAATCCAAGGATAAGGAGGGTCTAGAAGTGTACGGAATGTTGAAGGAAGGAATAGGGTTCAAGGACTACCTACATGGACCAATGGATGCAGGAACAAAGCTTAAGGTCAAATTCAGGACCGGGGACATAGGCCTTCGAGAACGTCGACGAAGACATAGGACGGTAGACGAGGAAGACGACGAGTTCAAATGTGATTGCGGCTTCGAATGCGAAGANGAAGACGATGAGTTCAAATGTGATTGCGGCTTCGAATGCGAAGACCGTGTTCATGTAGTCGCGGAATGTCCGTTGTACAAGAAGGAGAGGGAAGTGTACGTGACTGAGCTGGGAAAAATAGATGGAACGTACAGGGAGATGTTTGAGGCATGGAATAGAGAGGAAAGGACGGTAGCTGTACTGGGGCATAGGAGGTGGGTTGAAAAGGCGGGAAGGGATATCGTTAGGATAGACAGACTAGGGAAGACATTTTTGAGCCACCTTTGGCAAAGTAGAAAGGAACGATTGGCCATCGGTGATCGGTCCTGTGGGAACAATGCTCCGTCCTCTCGAGGACGCGTGGTCAATGGTCTAACCGCTAAGGCATGCAAAACATAAGAGTACGCCCCCCCCTCCCCCGATGTCAAAGGTCGAACGACTACGGCATGCACGGCTACGAGTACACCCCCCCCGTGCTCGCAAGTGTGGCACCCCCACCAATTCACTTATTCGTCCACGCTCTGTTGGCTGTTGGTCGGTCAGCTTTTCCTTCCCCACGTTGCTCTCGCGTCAATTTCCGATATCTGCGCCCCCAGGTTTGGATCGTGCGGTGATGTCCTCGCCCCTAACACCGCCTCGCCGCCTGTTCCGTGTGTTCCTCCCTACTGCTGTGCTGCGTCTTCTGTCTTCCCCTTTCTCTCGCGCGCCGTTCATCCCGCTCTCTGCTCGATGTTCCTCCCCCTGCCTTGTTGGCTGTGTGTGCTGTGCTGGTTTTCCACTGCTGTGTGCATCTCGACTGTGTTTTTTTTGTGTGATTTGTTGTGCTGCTTGTCTTGGTTTTCTTTGGGCCTGCCTGTCTACCCTCGTTGGTGTCGGTGGTCTCTTGCCCGCGCGTGTTTGCGGCTCGTTCGTGGTGGTGGCAGAGGTACGATCAAGGAGGTATCCCCGACATCGCGCGGTTTGTCAGAATGGAATGAATGACACAGAACCGGAATTTGGGTCAGAATCGAGGGTGAAACTCTGCTGTGTCTTGCCGAGGAATGGTTGAAAGAGAGGGCGGGGTAAACGTTGGTGTCTGTTACCAGTGAATGCGTGCAGACCTCTTTTTTGTTCTGTTTTTTTATGGCACTCTACGATTTTGTGGCCTCCTTGGCGCTCATTAGGTGGTAAGCAGCTGAATATTGACAACTCTCCGGATGACTATTGACTCAGCGGACGCCTACAGGGACGGCATCTACTTCGTTCAACGACTATCGGGCAATGGCAGTGAGGGATGAGGCGTCTCCACTATCGGAAAACCGCCTGAATCCCCCCCTCCCTCATTGAGGATACTTGAGAGAGTTAAGCTCCTGGTGGAACTAATGATATTAGTGATAGACTTGAATGCTGAGACGGACAATGTTTTGTTCGATGATGCTGCAGACCCGCGGGTGTGTCAAGTGATCAGCGCAGCAGTATAGCCAGCGTGGTTGGGGGCGACGATGAGCGAAGTGGGTTTTGTTCTGGTTTGGTTCTTTCGCCCGAGGACAACTGATGATATTATATATATAATATATATAATATATATATATATATGTACAGCAGTGCAACCGATTGTGAGCCCGATTTCAGTTGACCGGTCATAACTTTTGACTGCGGTCATGGATTTCGACATTTTTTTTCTGCACGTATTGCCCATGATGGCCTTGACAAGGCCCAGTATCATTTTTCAACATGAACATATGGGAAACAAATATACAAAATCTTTTTTTTTTCGGTGGGTTCGCCGTAGTTGTCGAGTTATGGAGGATTCAGTGGAGTAAAGTACCTTCGCTGGCGATGGTAATAGGTCCATAGCTCTTGATCCAGAGCGAACCCACCGCTTTTGAACGACTTATTCCAAAGCTACTGGCAACGCACGTTTGTTTGTCGCCCAATTCTGTTGAAAACCCTTAACAAATAATCACCCCGCCCCAAAAATGTGGCACAATCGGTGGAACTGCACCACGATATATTTGTCGTTTCCTTTTCCCCTCCTCCCAGACCCCCTCTACAACTGACTTCTGTAGCAGGCAAGACCGTTCAGACAACGAGAGAGTTCATCACACGCAAATCGTGCGATGCACAGAAAGTTACGCCTACATATATAAACTCGTGGAGATCCCGATGATACCATTTGTTTACCCACGGAAGCGCCTTATCGCGGGACACGGACAGTTGCTGGAAGTGTTCATAAAGTCTGACTAAAGGGGTCTGGCTAGTTTCTGACATTTTTTTTTTGCGCCCATCATTGGACTCTGTCGTCTGCCCCTCTGGCCCCTATCCTCCACTTCTACTAGCTAGACGACCCAACCGGGGCCACATAGGAGGGGGGGGCTGGACCCCCTCCTGCGGTTCCTGCCTGAGGTTTGTTTATCGCGAGAAGGGTGTATATTATACAGTATTTTTACCGCGAGAAGGGTACAGCAATCCCTCCCCTCGCGACTTACTAAGTCGATTATGGTTTACTAACAAAGAGCTTTGCAGCGCGTCGCTTTCATCCTAGACCAGATTTTATTTAGTGAGAAAAACGCTACCTCTGCTGGGACTCAAACCCATGACCTGGCCCTTAGCAGGCTGCGAAGTTACCCACTAGACCACCGGGACGACCAGTGATTGGATCCCGTCGTCTGCCCTTCTGGCTCCTATTCTTCAGTTCTACCAGCTAGACGACCCAACCGGGGTCACATAGGAGGGGGGGGTTGTACACCCTCCTGCGGTTCCTGCCTGAGATATTTTTATCGCGAGAAGGGTACAGCAGTCCTTTCTTCCCTCGCGACTTATGANAACGCTACCTCTGCTGGGACTCAAACCCATGACCTGGCCCTTAGCAGGCTGCGAAGTTACCCACTAGACCACCGGGACGACCAGTGATTGGATCCCGTCGTCTGCCCTTCTGGCTCCTATTCTTCAGTTCTACCAGCTAGACGACCCAACCGGGGTCACATAGGAGGGGGGGG